AAGTCAACAACGAAGGAGCCAGCCTTTGCCTTCCTGTTACACCCTCCAGCTTCTCTCTGGCCTGCCACGTTCACACACACACACACACACACACACACACACACACACACCTACCAGATACAGTGTACATGGCCATTTGCATAGGGAATTTACTCTGGGAGAACCAGGAGGCAGAATCCAGCCAGGCTCCAGTCAGGGTTACTTTTTCTTTCTCCATATTCCAACCAACCTATGAAAAACCAGGCCCAGGAATGCAAACTCCAGAAAGCCAAGCACCAGGATATTGACTTACTCATGAGTGTGCTTCTGCCACCCTAGAAGTTAGGCTCAGGTCTCCTAAGCAGTGGGGCTTTGCTGAGTGGACACTGTGGTCCCTATGGTCACCCAAGCAGGGCCTGGGGAAGCATCAGCCACCATACCCTCTTGATGATCCAACTGTCCCCACCGTAAATGCAGAACTAAATTAGCTGTGGTTTAGGGTGAAAGGGTACAGTCCCCAGAGTTTCCCAAAAGAGACAATAGACAACACACCAGAGTTGCCAAAAATACATGCAACTTACCTATATAGTGAGTGGCTCAAGTCTGTTCCAACACCGTACAAAAATTGCAAATCCCTATATACCAGAGACATTTTATGGGGGTGGAGTGGGGAATGGGATCAAAAACGGTGGGGGGAGGGAAATGCACTGGACTATGGTGATGGCAGACGGGTGATTTGGTGATGGGAAGCCCACGGGGATAACAACTGAGATGGAAAAATGCACAAAATGATGTAAAAATAAACTATTATTTTTTAAAATTGAAAATCCAGACAGAAAGTAAAAACAAAAACAATTTCAGCATACTGGTATGAATTAATCCTTGTTATCTTAAAGACCTTATCTCTACCCAGCAGGTGATATGCCACCCCTAACTTCCTCCACCCCCAAGTTCCCAGCAGCAGTTCTCATGCAGGCTTCTATTCATTTTGAGATTGTTCAGTAGGGGGGTGGGGGTTTAGATTAGGTAGCATGAGACAGAATGGGACAGGTTGCTGGAGAATATTAGCAGCTGAAGACTTGATGGAAGGGTAGGCAGTGAAGGAGGAAATCAAAAAAGCAAAACTGTCTCTCTGACCATCCTAATTTCCCAAGCTTGCATTTGGACCTGGGGTTCTCCTCACTTCCCCTAGCAGTTCATGAGATCATTCCATGGCCACTGCTTCAGAGGTTTGCCCTGTCCCATTAGGTTCTCTGCATGCTCAAGCCCTGATTTTTTTTTTTTTTTTGCAAAATGGTCCTGACAGCCTAGGAGCACTAACATCTACCACTGAAGACCTAACTTCCCAGGGACACCCAGGATTCCTATTCTGTCTGCTCACAGCAATCCCAAACTCTCTCTTTTCTCACCATCTCTCATCTCACAACACAGGACATTTTGCGGGAAAGGAGGTGGGAGGATGTCTATGGAAAAATCTCTTCCTCCAAATTTCTTAAAGACGTATAGTCTGTTGTCCTAAAACCCTCCTGCCTCCTTGCCAACCACCCCCCCACCAAAAAATCCCTTTTATAACGCAAAAGGTAGAAAATTTTCTTGGCTATTTTCTACCCTGTCTCAAGCTTCCACTAAGGCAATGAACAAAGGACCCACTGCTTACTTGCTGGAGAGTGAGAGAAATGGATCTTATCTCAGATACTATCCAGCCATCCTTGATAAACACATTTTTACCCACATTCCCATCATCCAGGATTCGTGCGATGGTCAACTGTTATTTCCTTCTCAAAGTTTCTCTTTGTTCCTTATCAGCGGTAAGTCCTTTACTACCTCTGTTTCTCCAGCAGCTTCTGTTCACTTTTATCCCCCTCTCCACTCCTTTCTTCTCCCATCACTGCCACTTCCCAGCTCAGCTCACATAGAGAACAGATAGCCCCAGTCACCACTGACCCAGTCAGAAAACAAAAGTGCCAAACACCTGAAAGCTCACAATCCCCCAAATGGGGTCAGCCTGCCATGCCCACACCCACACCCCCACATTATATACTATATATAGTGAGCACTTTTTATTGATAATTCCCACATCCAAAAACATCTCATTAGCCTTCATCTTATGTGGCCTCGCTCAATGAGAGATCACCATTCTTTCTCCCTTAACTCTTTGTATGAGTGACATCTTTGCTCACCTGGCTTTCCTCCTTCAATGCCCACCCTTCCATCAAGACTTCAGCTGCTAATACTCCCCAAAAATCTGTCCTGTCTCATGCTATATGCCCCCACTGAACAATCTGTCTCTCTCAGTGCTGCATCGCCTACCAAAACCTCAAAGACACCCCCAAATATTCCTTCACCTGCCCTCCCTCCTCCTTTCTGATTTCAGACACACAGAAGATTAGTCTGTTGGTCAACCTAGAAAACAAAAAGCTGGAGAAAGAACTAGATTGCCTATATGCCTATATCCTACACATGAAAGAATGTCAAGACTACAGAGGCAGGCTAGGGCTAGCTGGGTAGGTTGCAACTCAATACAAGGGAAATTTTTCTAACAGATGGCACTAATCAGCAATGGGTGGGGTTCCCATGAGGCCTAAGCTGCTATGACTGGGAGGAAGCAGAGAGGGTTCCTGAATAGAATGGAAGGCCAAACTAGGCATCTCTCCCTCTGAGTGAGACTTCTCAGCTCAGCATTTGAGATGGGGACACAGAAGGTTTTGGGTTTTTTTTTTCATTTTGTTGGAGACCTAAAATTACATTTCTTCATTATGTGAAACTGATTAGATATCATCAAAGGTATTTTCTTTTTATTCAATTATTTTTTAAATAACCATGATGTATCAAATAATTTGTATTACAAACTCATCTGCCATACACACGCTCAAGTTTATAGAAAACAAACTTTACTTGGTCATTGGTTGAAGGCTTTCAGATAGAAGCCCAGTTGCCAGACTCATTATTGGTTCTATGTATTTCTCTATTCTATTCCTCTCTGCTGTTTGTAAAGGTAAGTGAATTGAAAAGAAATCCTACTGAAAGCCTGATCTGATTTAACAGACTTTTTGAACAAATACCTTGTTCTTGCTTCTTCATTTTCCTGGGATGTTATCAGTCAAATCTTAATACAGCAAGGCAAACAGTGAACCATTTCAGAAGATGATGGAATTTGAACTGGTATTTGCTGAACCTATTCGTGCTGTGCTCCACAGTATCCAACAGGGGTGCTGAGGACTTAAAACATGATCCTGCCCTCCAAGAACTCTCCCACTACAAGCCCCCAAACCAGTGATTATAGCACAGGGAGGCAAGGATTGGTAATGCCTGTTAGCTAGAACAAGCAAGGTGAACAAAGGCAACTGTTTTAGAGTAAGTTCTTACCTTTAAATACCTAAACACCAAAGCTGTATTAAAATCACAAAAAATATAAAAGCAAATTGTTTACACCTCCATCAAGCAGTTTGTGTATCCGTATGAATCTACCACTTGCATATGCAATTTTTGCCTATTTGTATTATATATTATTAGTTTTACAGACTCTTCACTTACTATATCATTAATATTTACCCATTTCACACATTATTTCTTATCCTGCCTCACCTCAAGATAACTGACAGTCACAGCCTGGGGAGTCATTCCTCTACCTCCCATGGGGACCCATAGCAATATTTAAATCAAAATGACTAGCCCCAATTTTTCTTGTTCTTCTGATACACCCAACTTTCATTCTCAAAAACCATTGTGAAGTCTTTAATTTTTGACTTCAAGAGTTGAATGTGATGACTCTGGCTATGGGGAGTCTCATGGCCAGCACGTCCCAGAGAGGACCACCTGGGCCACCAGGTCCCTCTCAGCAGGCCACTCACTGCATTCCCTCAAGAGTCTGCCTTTTTCACACTCTGTAGGGGCATTTTTCAGTTTAACGGCTACAGAGTTGATTTTGGATCTCATTCAGCTTCACCAAGAGTGATGTGAAGCGATTCCTTGGCCTTCCAAAGTGGCAAAGGTGGTGGCCTGGAGCATCACAGTCCTGCCCCCAGGCTCTCACCTGCAAGGACAGCCAAGGCCACAGACTTCAGTGTTACGTGTGGGGTAGAGGCCAGTTCTGACACTTCCTAACTGGTTGATCTTGGAGAAGTTGAAACATTTCGAGCTTTTCGAGTCTTATTTTCCTCATTTAAATTCCACCTCAAATGAGGTAAATTTAAAAAAGGTGACTTCATAAAATTAAACAGAAAATAATTTAAAAACGTTTTTGCCAATGGGGGTTATACAATTGCTATAATTAATTAGCCACTTAGTTTTCCTACCTGCAAAAAGTCCTTGTTAACTAAGTTAATCTTCAGTTTGCCACCAACAGGAATAGCAATCAGTCACAAGACACCAATGTCTTCAGGATTCCAATCCCTGCCAATAACTCCCGATATATAAAAAGCAAAGCTATATAATTTTAAAATGTTACATATAATTATGTACTATATAACATATTTTGCTACTATATACCTGGCAGCATCGACCATATATGGTGTGTGTATATATATACACACACACATATATATAAAATCTGTAAGAGATCTATAGTCCATCTATATAATTATAAAATGTAATTTTCTTTCACAGCTTACTTGTAAGCCTTCAGGCACTTTGATCCTTAAAATGTAAGTCAGACAGGCCTTCCCTGGTGGCGCTGCAGGTTAAAGCACAGCACTAAGAAACTAAAGCCACTTCCGCATGAGTTTGATCCCCAACCCGGAGATGACCCACATGAAGCAGGAGACCTTTCCTGACGCGCCCACTGCTCCCCTCAGCAGTGTACTTCGTTGATCTGTCTGTTCTGCTCCCCACTCTGTCTCTGGTGAAGTCTCTCGCCGCCCCTATCTGCACCTTTGGCCTGTACCCCAGTTCTGTATGCACAAATAAATCAATCTTTAAAAAAAAAAATGTAAGTCAGGCATTTTAAATGAAGGAGTAAGGCTTTGCTCAGAAGTATCTAATTAAAATGGCGGGGTGGGGGGGAAGCAGACAAAAAAACAAGCTGGTTTTTTCCACCTTTATTTATAAAGAACACAACTTCTCCTGACACAGACACAGACTCACACACTTCAGGAGGAGCTCATTAAAAACAGCAACAACAGAAATGAGGGGAACAGTGAAGGCTTATTTAACACAGTGTGTGCCCAACTCTGGGATCACTGGGAATGTCTCCTCAGATACTGCATCGCACAAAGAACAGAAGAACCCTTGAACCAGAGGGCCCACCTACCCTAACCAACCAGGAAAAAGGCTACACACTCAGTCTTCAGCATCATCAAATTGTCCCGTTTCAAAGACCATTTTGGAATAATGGGGTATCAGCGGAGGTGGATGGTGCCAGCTGGGGTCATAGATCATGTCTCCTTGTGGTGCACAGCACACCCAAGGTTTGACCTCTTGAGAAATGCAGCCCTGGATGTCTTCAGCATCTGTAGGCAATTGTAAAGGACAGATTAAGGAAGAACGTGAAAAAGGAGCACCAGAAAATACCTAGGGAACAGATATTGCACTGTTTAAATACACCTGCCCAAAGACACACAAATGGTTCCCCTTTCCTGAAAACCACAAGCATGTCCACTTAAAGCACAACCTGAAATTGTGCTTCTTAGACAAGGGTTCTCAGCAGTGCAGACCGAGCACCTGGATAGCAGCTCTTCCATTCACACAAGGATATTTAGAGAGAGTAATGGTGTTCCAATGCTACAACTATCTGCTACCTTAAGGAGTTCAAATGCAGAATTTGCATGTTTTTATTTATTTCTTAATTTTAAAGAGAAGCTGTCTCAGAAATTTCCAAGCTGACAAAGACATCAGGCTAGGCTCACAGACATGCATCCCTCTTCCTCTAAAGGTAATCTGATTGAAGGGTCTCCGAATGCTGGCCTCGGTTCCCAGAAAGCCCCCACCTACCATATGGATTCCCTTGATCTGCTTTCAACTCCAAGTCCCAGTCCTCAGTAAAAAGGTCAGCAGCCTGCTCCTTGGGCGGGTGGCTAGAAACCCCTTCTGACAGCTCCCAGGTATTGGGCTCCCCATCAGAGTCCTCGTCGTCCACAGCAAAGCCTTCCTCTTCTGAATGGGCGTCCTCAGCACCAGCAGGACTATTATTAGAGACGCTTTGTGCTCTGCTGGCTAAGAAATTGACCAAAGAAGGGTCATAAAACAAGAAGCAAACCAGATGCGGCAGTCTCAGGGGCTGGGGAAACTTCTAGCAGAATTACTGAGAGGGCAGCAGAAAATGGCCTACCGGGAGTTTTTGCCACCTAAAAACTATGTTGTTCTGTTTACGAATTTTTTTTTTTTTTTTTTTTTGTAATCCAGACAGGTTTTATTTTTTTCCCCGGACCTATCATGCCATGAATTCACAGGGAACAGGCTGGCAACTCCGCGCCTCCCCAAGGGTTGCTGCAAAGTGTGCTCTCTGGGTGGAACAGGCTGGCGCTGCCTTTGAACCCAAGCACCTTTCTCTTTGGCTTCCTTGTTTTCTTATAACTTTCATTTATATGTTTCAGCACTCTCAACTCTCAGAGTGTTTAGCATGCTCAAGGAGGAGGGTTGAGAATTTATTTTCGTTTTCTTTTTTCCTTTTTTTTAAAGATCTATTTACTTATCCATACAGAACTGGAGTGCAGGCCAGAGGTGCAGGGGGCAGTAAGAGGCTTCACCAGGGACAGAGTTGGGAGCAGAACAGGCCAACTGACAAAGTACACTACTAAGGGGAGCAGCGGCGGGTCAGGAGGGGTCTGCCACACCATGTGGTCACCTCCAGGATCATTTAATTGTTAAGCATTCCCAGCTCTCAGAGTGCTCAACATACTCAAGATCAACAATAATTCTCTTGGCAATAGTCTTGCCCTTTACCTGCATGTTTACGGCAATGCCAACTGCATGCCGGGTAACACTATAGGCTCTCCAGTTTTGTCATGGGAACACGTGGGAGGCATTCCTTCTTGAACAGTGCCAACCCCTTGATGTCTACAATTATCACCATTCTTGTAGACGTACACGTATACGTCCAAGGGAACAACTCTGCATTCTTCCAAAAGCCCAGGGAACGTACAGCGGGGGCCTCTCCTCTTTCTTTTTGTGTAGGTCATTTTGACAATTTACTGGAAGATGGTGATTCTGGCTGAAAAAGGCTATCTACATTTTTAGAAGGAGGGTTGAGATTTTTTTTTCCTTTTTTTTTTTTTTTAAAGATTTACTTATTCGGGCCCTCCATGGTGGCGCAGCAGGTTAAAGCACAGCACTAAGAAGCGAAAGCCACTTCCGCATGAGTTTGATCCCTGCCTGCCCCGGAGGAGACCACATGGCGTGGCAGACCTCTCCTGACCCGCCTGCTGCTCCCCTCAGCAGTGTGCTTCATAGATCTGCCTGTTCTGCTCCCCGCTCTGTATGAATAAGTAAATCTTTTTTTTTTTAAAGATTTTTTTACTTATTCATGCAGAACTGGGGTGTACAGGCCAGAGCTGCAGGGGTAATGAGAGGATTTACCAGAGACAGAGCGGGGAGCAGAACAGGCAGATCTACTGAAATACACTGCTGAGGGGAGCAGCAGGTGAGACAGGAGAGGTCTGCTGTGCCATGTGGGACACTTCCAAGGCGGGGATCAAACTCGCACCAAAGCAGCCAGGCCAGCTTTGCAGAGCAGCACTTTAACCCACTGTGCCACCAAGGAGGGACGAGAATTTATTTTTAACAAGATGTTTTGCCACAGATTAACTGCCATGTCTGTAATCCACAAAAAGAAGCAGGCACAGTTTATAGATCTGTGAAGTTGACATGTCACTGAAATAAGAGGCCTCTTGGCATGGATACACTTTTGCCAGAGCTTGAATTGAGTTTGCTCTTCCAGTCCTTCCTTCATCCTCGAAGAGCACATCAGAGTCAGGCGAGGGAGGAGAGCAGAAGTCATCTCACAAAGTGACCTCTCATCTCCTCCTCCTGACACCAGTGACAAATGGAAGGTACATTTTCAAATGGTCTCAAAACAACAGGGAAAAGTTTGGGATGGATATAGTGCAATGGGGATGCCAGGTCAGGGGCAGGAGAAGCCACAGCCCAAAGAAGCCACCAACAGTGTGACGACAGACAGCTACCAGCAGAGCTCAGGGGGCGGGTTTGGAGCCAAACTGTCTGGATTTAATTATAATTAAATTCCAATTCTGCCAGTTACTGAATGTATGACTGAGCTGAAATTTACTCAACTAATTCCTCAACAACTCAAGCACAGAACTGCCATAGAACCCAGTAATTCCACCCCTAAATGTACACCCAAGAGAAACAGGTATTCAAACAAAATACATCTAAGCACTTCAGAGTAGCTTTCATAATCACCAAAAGCAGAAAAACTCAAATTCCTATCAACTGAGGAGTGGGCAAACAAATTATGGTCTAGCCCTAGGATGGCAGTTTTCAGCCACAGAAATGAGGTGCTGACATCAGCTACAACATGAGCCTTGAAAATAGTGTGCTGAGTCAAAGAAGCCCAGCATAAGAGACCACAGCATCCATGATGTTTTTTACCTGCAACTCACATGTGCCACCCAGAAAAGGTAATTCCATGGAGAGCAGATTATTCAAGGGAGAGGCAATGAATGTGACTACTTAGTGGGCATAGGTTTCTTTCTGGGGTGATGAACAGCAGTGATAGCTGTCTAACAGGACAAATGCGCTAAATACAAATTGTATACTTTAAAATTATCAAATGATATGGCCTGAGTTCAATCCCTTGTTCTGCTCCCCACTCTGTCTCTCGTGAATCCTCTCATCCCCCACGCCTCTGACCTACACTCCAGTTCTTCTATGCAAAAATAAAAAATAATCAAATGAAAAAAAGTGCTAAACGGTTCATTTTATGTCATGTCTTTTACCATGATTTTTAAAACTTTGTACTCTGCGCTTCAGTTTCCTTGTCTGTAAAATGGAGGTAGGATTGTATGGGAATTAAAAAGGAAAAAAAAAAAAAAAAAACACTTAACTTAAAGCCTGGCTCACACAGGGAGTACCCTGTGTCAGTTGCCTTGATGGTACCCGTCTCTGCACAGCACTGCACCTACAGGGTGCCTCACCTGGCCGCATTCCCGCCCGGCCTGTGCTCTCCAATAGTCAAGCTCCACGATACAGTCCATGCTGTCCATCAGGGCAGCATTATTCACCAGTGGCTACCAAGCACTTGAAATGTGGCTAGTACGAACAGGAACTGACTTTTTTTTCCATCTTATTTAGTTATAATTCAAATTCAATAGCACTAGCAGCTAGTGCCTATTATCTTCTAGATCCTCTCACCTAACCCTTGAAACAACCTCCAGAGATAAGTGTTGTTGAAGGGACAAGTGATTTATCCAAGGCCACAAAACTCAAGCTCAAGACTCTATGACCTAGAACTGGATGTGGAAACAATTTTGCCTGGCTCCAAAGCCCTTTCTGCTATCCTAAGCTGTTTTTCTCAGTAGAAGGGACGGATTTGGACTTAAGTCCAAGACTGCCATTAAGGAAGTTCCAGGGATTCCAAATGAGGGCATTGTTGCCACAGTAGGCAGAAAAGGCAACTGAGAAGCTCGGGGCGCCCGGATAGACAGAGAGGGAAGAGAAACACAGCGACTGTTCCTCTTGTCGCTTCCCCCGCCTCTCCCAACACCCACCCCAATCTCTGCCCTCTACTTGCCTAGTGGATCTGTGGCCTTGTCTGTCTCTCTTTCCTGATGGGAGCGGTCCACTGAGGCAAAGCCAGCCTGCAGGAAAAAGAAACAAGGACTTGAGCATCTGCCCAGGAATTAAGCTATTGTCTCTCCACCCCCAACCTTTGGATGCTGGGCTTAGACTCTGCAACCCAGTTTTGCGCTGCCCAGTCTGACTCTGGCAAGGATCCTTTCTACCCCTATAGGCATCACCCCGGCAATGCGTCTTCATTGCTGGCAGCGACAGCACCTCCCTACATTAGGCTGAACTAAGTTTAGTTTGCCAAAACCTCCACAGACATCTCATCACTGGACCCTCTCTTGAGAGGTCTGAGTTCTGGGTCCACAGTGCCCATGGTGCAGCACACACACCCCTCCCCAAGAAGTTGGAGTTTAGCTCTGCAGAGCCTTCCCTCTGAGCTTCTACTTAAATTATACCAAATTCAGCCCTGGGTGCCTTCAGCTATAGGTCTGAGCTGTTTCTACCAGCAACCTGAAGGTGCTTCCATCATGCTGACATTTTTACCTTCCCAGTTACTTAAATTTCTGATCTATATAACAATTCTATCAAAGTCTGCCTCCTGACTGATACAGGGGGGACAGCAGAGCTGTAGCTCCTTTGCAGCATGGAAGGGAAAGGTTTCCCCCAGTCAGTCATCACCCAAATGTTCCTGAAATCGTATCACCTCCAAGACCTCCTTCAAAATCAGCAAGAAGAAAAAAAGTAAAATGAAAAAAAAAAAAAAGTCAACAAGAATGTTGACAGTCTGCATGGGAAGACCTGTTTGGGGGTTTCTGAAAAAATAGCACTCACAAAAATACCTACTATGTAGCAAATGTGTGACACTTATAAATTCCAAGCCACCTTCTTGGCCCCTACATCTAGCACCTGCCCAATAAACAGATGATCTAGTACACCTGGATTTGATGAATCAATTCCACCTTGTGCACTTGATGACAACCCTCGGTGACTGTGAGCAGCCAGGTGGTGGGGCACTTCTCACCCAGGCGGCTGGAGTGTCCTCCAACCTGCCTCCCTATCCACCCATCTTGCCAAGCCACAGGGTGGTGATCATCTGCTTTAAAATCAACTTGGCCCTCCCTGGTGGCTCAATGGGTTAGGACGCAGCACTGCAAGCTAGCCACAGCCAGGTCAGCACATCAGTGTGAGTTAATATCCCCACCCGGGGGGTGACAACAAGGTGCAGCAGACCTCTCCTGACCCGCCCCCTGCTCCCCTCAAGTGTACTTCGTCCATCTGCCTGTTCTGCTCCCCACTCTGTCTCTGGTGAATCCTCTCACCACCCCTGCACTTCTGGCTTGCACCCCAGCTCTGTATGCATAAATAATATATAAATCCTTTCAAAAAAAACTTTCCATGGCATCTCACCTCCCCTCATATCTGATCAACCTGTTCAACACCGCTCTCTGTGCAGGTTCCAAACCTTTGCTCCAGGACTTCCTAATCTCCACACCTTTGCTGGTACCTCCATTGTCACTCAGGGGAGGAAGTGCCCACCCCTGCCTGCTATGCCCTGACAAAATTAAGTGTCCCCCTACATGCACTTCAAAGTAATTTTCTTTTGAAGACTATGACTACATTTTTCTTACTTTGGTTATTACTGAGGGGAGTAAACAAGGATTCCTTTTCTCCATCTAATTAACAAGCGTATCAGTAACCTCTGGGTTAACAGCACTAAACAGGGGGTTCCTACCCTCCAGAAGCTCACCATCTAGCAGATTAATGACTACAAACAAGGGCAGGTGAAGAACAGAAACGGTCTGTAAAAAACCAGGAGCTGTCTGACTCGCAAATGAAAACAAGTTTCTGGAATTCCCGCATCAAGCTCGGCCTTTTGGTTTTAAGGAAAGAGAAAAGGAGAGAGCTCATGAGACAACATCTCGGTTATTGATCATCCTCACCAATGAACACAGGTCCTTCAGAGAAAATCCCTCTCCTGGCCGCCCTCACTGGCCCCAGCCCAGGCCCCCAGCAGCAACCCTCAGCTCTCGGTCATCAGCATCAACTCCCATTTAACCAGCAAGCAGAGGCGCCCCGGGGCCAAGAGCTCTCCCACCCACGCCCTCCGGGTTCCCCGCCGCGCAACCACGCAGCTCTTCGGCCGTTTCCAGCTAGAGCGCGCGCCCAAACGGCGTCCCACAATCACCCGGCCAACCACAGCGCTAC